GACAGGGTCTGCCCCACGTGCGGAACTGCCCAGACGGCGTCCGCTTGCAAGTATGGTCCTAACTCTTGGTACACACAGCCCCAGATTTCAGATATGGGGATGATTAATAACCCCGAATTCATTGAAGGGGCTGTGTGTGCATTGCGTTAAACCACCACTACCTTTCCAAGCTGTAGTCCCATTCGGGAAAAGGATGTCAACCGCAAAGTTCGGGGGTCCGGGCGAGGGTTGGCAAAAACAAAACATTTGGGCCTTGTGGGCCCGACTGGAGAAAAAAAAAGAAAAAAAAAAAGAAACTGCAGAGTTGAAAGGAAGGACGTCGGGGAAAGCCATGAAGGAGGTGTGCGCACAGTAGTGCCTCCAGGAATGCATCTGCCCAGAATCATTGATAGTTTCGTTTTTATTTTTATTTTTTGTGTTTTTTATATTTTTCTTCTAAGTTAGTTTTTGTGCCAAATGTTCATTCAGGAATTCCCTGTGTCTGCTTCCATCTGGATTCGAACTCAGGTCTGTGTTTTCAGTAGTCGATTGGTGTATCAAACTGAGCTAGGCCTGTTGGTGGTTTGCTGATGACTCAATTCTGCAGGTGGATATCATTCTGTCTGACAAGACTGGCACTCTGACACAGAACCAGATGGAATTTTTCAAATGCTCGATCGGCGGGGTTTCGTATGGCACAGGTACCACCGAGGTGGAGCGAGCAGTTGCGCGGCGTGCTGGACTCTTCATGCCTTCCGCGTCAGGATCCCTTTCAACGCCACCCTCTCCCAACCCTCAGATCAGGCATCCACAGTTTAACCTCCGGGATCCCCGTGTGCTGAACCACAATTGGCTCAATGAGCGAAATCCGCAAGTTTTCTGGCGTTTTTTACAGGTAATGTATTGTAAAAATAAAAAAATTACTATAATGTACTGCCGCTACGGCGACTTAAAAAATCCTATAGTTTTTTAACGTAATCTATGTTTGTTACCAGAGTGGCCCGGGACCGCTTGCCCGGCCGGGCCGATTGTTTTTTTTTTTTTTGGTGTGATTTGGCAAATAATTTCGGTCCAACCCTGAGGCAAAAGTTGTTCAGTTTATTTTTCTGCACAACGTCGTTGTTTTTTTAACTTTTTTTGGATTTTGTAGAGTTCTCTCCCCCTCTCCCCTCCCCTCCCCCCCCCCCCCCCCCCCCCCCCCCCCCCCCTCTTCACACAGACCTTCTGTGGCATTTGCCCGAATGGGTATCAGTTGTCGGGCAGCTGTTGATGCTTAACCACAACCGGGGTTAAGGCGGATTGTCACTTACAGTGTAATCAGTTAGGGGATTCTGTTATATACATATTGTTGACTTACTCTCGTGTGACACCTGTCGGGACAGAGACGCGGTGCACCTTGGCTGTGGAATGCATCATCTATGCCATAGCCATTACCAATCTATTGCAACTGCTGCCGTTTGTATTGAAGGGTGTCCAACATTTCCTCATTGTACACATCCCTGTCACCCAGACATACGTTGTCCCTTTTGTGCCCAAGGACGCTATCAGAACTGCATGATGCCGCACTGTGATGAACGTCCTGCCGTGTTTTTCACATGTGGACAACATGTCCTCTGTCAGGATTGTTTTGATGGGATGGTTCGTGCTAGCCGTCCTGCTGAATGCTGTGCTGGCGCAGCTCTCCTTGGGTATCCTTGTGAACATCCACATCATCCTCACCGTAGCTGTCCTATCTGCTGAGGTGGGGACAGTTAAAGAGAAAAAAAGAAAAAAAGAAAAAAAGAAAAAAAGAAAAAAAGAAAAAAAGAAAAAAAGAAAAAGAAAAAAAGAGAAAATAAGAAAAAAGGAAAAATATGTTGATCTATGGGATGTGGTATTTGCTTTGTGACAATTGGATTATCTGTGTCATTTGCTTTGTTTGACTGATACGCTTTCTTTCCCTGTCAGGTTTGGTTTCCTCCTCCTTTTCTTTACCTCTTTGCCTTTTGGCTGCGTGCAAGTGGGTCCTTGTGACACACTGGGATGGGGCCAGCCAGCGCTCAACCTGTCATCCACGTGGCTGGCCTTGTACGTAAGAGGTGATGAACAGGTGAGGCTTTCCTTCCTTTCTTCTTTTCCTTTCCTTGTTTTGCTTTTTTTCGCCTTCGCGCTCTGATTCATAGTGTGACAATATGTTATAAACAGTTTGTCACAGCCCCTCGTTTGTTGTCCTCTTCTCTCTCTCTGCCTACGGTTTACCGGGCAGTTCTATTTGTGACGATATATATATTTTTGTAGTTATGTGACAATATATATGTATATGTATCATACATGCCGCGCATCGCGATGCGCTGCACTGCGCACGTGCGCCACACGGCGTATCCCGCACGACGCGCGCGCATGCAGTGCGGCGCACCTCCAAAAATGGGGGTCGAAAAAAAAAAAAAAAAGTTGTGAGGGGCGGTAGTAGACCCG